GGGCCTCCCTCTTTCTTTGCTGGGGGGGCGGGACCAGCCCTGTGAGGGGCCATCTGCCTACCTGATAGCCCCTAACTGCTTCCCTGCCTACCTGATCACCCCTAACCACTTGCCTGCCTACCTGATCACCCCTAGTCACTCTGCCTGCCTGCCTGATCACCCCTAACCACTTGTTTGGCGTTGGGGAGCCCCGCGAGGGGCTGTGGTGGTTCTGGTCTCTGGTTGCTCTGGTCGTTACACTTATGGTGGCCGGCCTTTTATTATATAGGATGGGTGGAAACCACTCTGGAGGGAAACTCTCAAAACTGTTGAAAATGTTACTTCTGGGAAGCAGTCTGGGACTGAGGGGGGTTGTCAAGAAGGACTGTAACGTTACAAGTATTTGAATTTTTTACTGAGATTTGATCCTTAAAATATTCATAATTAGCAACAATTTACCAAAAGGAAGTGCTGTTGCTGAACTTGCAGATCCTTGGTCCTCTTCCTTTTACTGCTTCCTAAGCCCTACTTAGTGGGGAGAGGGGGGGAGAGCCTGCAAATACAGACCCCAGGGGTGTACAGTTTTCTGAAGCTCATCCCCCAGAGTGTGTGTGAGGGTGGTCTCTGGGGGAAACAACCCACCAAGGCACTTGTGTGGCTGCCTGTCTTCCCCACAAGATTGGGAGTGCCTCATAGACAGGGATGGGGGTCTGCCCCTCATCTCTCTGGCCCCCAGGGCTGGTCCTTGGAAGATGCTCACAGGAGGTTACTTGAACTGAACAGCACTGACTTGGAAAGGAGAGGGGAGGGGAAGTGTGTATGTGTGCACACACATATGTATATCTGCCTCAAGACAAGGCTCCTATTGAGAAGTATATGAGTGGCTGTCCCCAGAATGGCTGATCCTGGGAGGACAGACTGAGGGCCATCCTAGGCTGTGGAAGGAAGAAGCTAAGATTGTGTTTTAGGTGGGAATATTGTTGGAAGCAACACCGATGTGTGTGCAATAATCAAAGGGGAACCTGTGCCCTCTCTGACCAATAGTTGGTGGAACCCTGGGGACCCAAGGGGTCTGATCTGATCTGCGTGCCTATCCCGGGCAGGAGAGGGGCCTACCTGCCCTCGTCAATGAAGTCGATGGCCAGGGTGCTGATAATGAAGACACACAGGCCGGCGATGAACATGTGGTAGATGGTCCGGAAGTGCTGCACCTCCATCAGTTCACTGGAGGGAGAGGGCCCTGGATGTCAGTGCGGAAGGGTCCTCAAGGTCATGTGGACTGGCTCAGGCACCGTACACATGTGAGGATGGAGTCTACTGATTGGAAATTCTGAGGGCTGGGATGTGACTGGGACATCTGCCCAAAGCCCTTTCTTGCCCAGACACCACGTATCCTGGTGGCCTTTCTTCCACACTTACACACAGGACAAGTGGGGGAACTGAACCTTAAAAACACTTTCCACGTCCTCTCCCAAACCATCTAGAGCCTGGGGATGAGAACTGAGGTGGACCCCTAACCAAAGCACTTCCTTTTCCTCCCACCCTGTCCTCTCCCTTAACTTACTCAAGCAGGGACTTGCGGTTGATAAAAACTTTCCGTTTCTTCAGGGATGGCTCCTGGATTCTGAATTGAGAGATTTGTTCTGGGTCAGGACCCAAAGGAAGAAGGCAGTGGGCAGAGGGCCTTGCAGAAGATCAATACTTGGGAGCCAAGAGGAGTAGTAGCAGAAGGTCAAGGCTAGGGCCAGAGGGCAGGATCAGGCAGAAGGTCAGGGCCAGGGCAGAGCATGGCTGCAGGTGGAGGTCAGAGCCAGGAAGGCAGAGGCAGTAAAAGGAGAAGGGGGAAGGTTGAGGTGAGGGTCACACCAGCGCTGGCAAAGGGCGCATGAGGTGATGTTTATGGCTTGCAATCTTACAATGGTGGAGCCTGCTCCAGCCATTCATCAGCCCCTGGCTCCTCAGACTCTTACTTGTTCTGGGAATCTGGAGGAATAGTGGGCAGAGGTCTGCCTTGTGGCGGGTAGGATTGTACGGCCTCTGACATGGCGCGATCCAGCAGCTCCAGCAGCTGTCTCTGTGCTTGCTCCAGCAGCTGCGCCTTCACAGCCTACGGGACAAAGCAGGGCCCACTGTCCCTCCATCCGGTTTGCCATCCTCTCATTCACTCAACATTTGCTGAGCTCTCTATGCGCACAAGTGCTAGGGAGAGAAAACACGGTTCCTGCCCACAAGTTCCCCAGTAATTTCTCTCCCTTGGGCTTCCCAGGGGCGCAGTGATGATCAAGGAGAAATAGCAGTAGTGACATTTCCAGTTCCAACCGCCTTGTCATCTCTGACTTGACTCTCTTCTCCCTGACCCCAGCCTTCCCTCTCCTGACCTCTAGCCCCACCAACAGAAGACTGTTCACGGGCTGACTTTTGTCCCCTGCCCTGATGACCTGTGTTTCAAACCCCTTCATCTTAACCCTTAGCTCTTACCTGATCTGAGGGGTTTGAACCCAAGATCAAATTGTCTTTATCACCAAACTGGTCCTCTCCCCTACTGCCCTCCACTTTAAGACCTGCTCATCTTGACTTCTGACCTCTGAGGTCCCTCACCTCCATATGTTGAGTCCATTGCACCAAGTCAGGGCCTCCAAGCGCCTCAGCATTTCCTAAAAGGAGGGGTCAAAGGGCACACCCAAAGGGGAGGGGTTAGGGTTCTGCTGCCTGGGGTGAGCCCAGAGGCATCCTCTGCCAGGAAGTGCTTTCTGTGTGCTCAGCAGCCGCCCAGCCCCGCAACCAGAAGATATCTAGCATCATGGGTGCGGCAGTCAGAAGAGGAAGTTATTTTGTCAGGGGGTGAGGAGGCCATTGGTAAGCAGGGAGCCTGATGACTTTACTGGAAACAGGCTTCTCAGGGAACAGGAAGTCTCTCTGTTTACCCTCTGAGGTTGGAGAGTCAGAAAGATGAGGCAAGGCCACGGCTCTGAATGCCCCTTTTCTGTTTCCGTCTTCCAGCTGGGTGGTTAGGAGCAGAGGCCAGAGTCTGCCTTCCCAGGACAGCTGGAGGGGTTCCAGGTAGAGAGGAGGAGCCCCCTCTCAACAGGGTATCCTCACTTCCAACCCCACCTGAGCTTTCTCACTCCCAGAGGGTGGCTCACCTCCTCCGGAGGGTCGGTCCTCCTGCTCTCTTCTCGACCCCGCTCTCCTCCGAGAGCGCACTGTCTTTGGCTCCATGATGTCAGTCTTGTCTGGGCAGCGGGTGGCCTCTGCCATGTTCCTTCCTTCCCTTCACTGCCTGCCAACCCGCTGAGCACCCATCTCTCAGCTCAGCGACAGCTCCAAAGACGAAAGTCCTCTCAGGAGGAGGGGGCCTCCAGATGACAGGGTATCTGATCCGGAGGGCAGAGCTTCTCAGCTCCAGGCTCTGTGGGCTGGCGCAGGGATGGACTGGATGCAACCCCGCAACAGCCCAACCACCCGCCAGATGCCCAGCTCTGAGCAAGTGTGCGCTCCCTCCCACAGGAGTAGTGACTGTGCAAGTGCTGGGAAGGGGGACTTTGCCTCTTTGAGGCTTATCGCCTAGCATGGCTCACCTTCCAGCAGGCTGAAGGTCGGGGCGGAGTCAGAAACCTCTTCAGTTATCAGTACACTCAGCTCCCTTAGACCGTGAGATAAGGTGTGTGAAAGGACCTTGTCAACTTGAAAGCATTGTATGCCGGTGATTAATACACCTATGGAGTTGACACCTGTGACAATTGTGGAGCTGTTGAAGTATGGTACCTATTTGCTTTGTTTAACAATGGACAGGTTATTTTGATTTTCTGAATTATATAAATCATCCCATTCGATTAAATGCCTTATTGATTGTAATGTGAATATCCCATGGGTTGTGGTCATACTGGTCTTAGAAAGCACATTTTCCTTTACCTGGGAAGGACAGCACAGTTATCCCAAGGTCAGAGGGCTCCAGATAACATGCCTAAGTTTAACCCAGGTTCTTCATTCCAGACCCAAGGGCTCTAGATAATGCGTTTCTGTCAATTCAGTGACCCCGAGACCCAAAACTATAATTAACATGCTTAATTCTGCTTCTGTAAACTGCCTTTTTGCAAACCAGGTTCCTCATTCCAAACCTTGAGATGTAATCAATACCTTTGTGATTTTTTGCCTATATAACCTTGGAGCTGCGACCATCTTGTTACTATGAGAGTTGGGGAATGGCCCCTCATAGTCCCGGATTGCAATAAATGTGACTCTTTAATTCGACTTCTTGAGGCGTCCTTCTGTGATTCGCAGGGTACATTACAACACTGTGGCCCCTCTAGGAAGGGCCAGGTGCCGTGTCCCTGAATGTCAGCTCTTCCCTACACTGGCTTGGATTAGCAGGTAGGCAAAGTAGACACATATTTAGCACCTAAGGAATGCCAGGCATTGTCACATGCGGAAGAACTAGATTTAAATCCTCCCTCTATTATTTCCTGGCTGTGTAATTTCAGGCTAGTGACCCAAATATTTTAAGCCACAGTTTTCTCTTCTGAAAAACAGGGACAAAGTCCCTTCCTCACAAAATTACTATAAGCACAAAAAGAGGGAATCCAGGTAAAAGCACATGGTCCAGGGCCCAGCCCATGAGGGGAGCTCAATAAATAATAATGTCATCTCCTTTTTAGTAGGATGTAGCAGAAGGGTAGGTACTTTGAGAGTTCCTCTTTGTTAGGTTCCTGCTGGGGATTAACTATTAATTCTTCCTCTCCCCTGTGTTCAAAGATCACTTAGAAACAAGATCACAACCTCATACCAAGGTTGCGAGCTCAGTGTCTCCCCACCTCTGACTCCGCCCCCGACTCCCTGGTGGGTAGTTGGGTGAGGCTTCAGGGCTTGAAGCCTCTGCCAATGGCTGCCTCCTTCATTCCAAGAGCATCGGGAAGGACCAAAGGTAGTCAGTCCACAGGAGAGGCAAACGGCTATTGGAGGGCTGTAAAGGGGGGAGAGAAGGGCCAGGGGCTCCAGAAATGTGACAGGTGGACACAGAGACATAGACCAGAGCCCCCAAAACAGCTTTATTAACACCCCAAGCCAACACCAACAACTTTTCCATGTGTGATATCTCAGGGATAAGGGGGCAATGGGGCAGGGCCTGAAGGTGGAATGTGGGACTGAGTTACTCATTACTCAACAAATGACCCAAGATGACAGCCCCAGGCTCCTGCCAGTGGCCCTGCAGGACCCCACCCAGCCTTAGCCACTGCTCCCTGCGGAGCAGGGGGAGCCGCCATTGCTGTCCGCGGATGCTGGCAGGGGCTGGCCCATCCGGTCCACGCACCAGCAGGGCCCTCGGCGCTGCCCCTGGGAGGAGCGGCACTGGGGAGAGAGGCATACAGATCAGAGGTGAGGCCAAGGCTCCAACAGGAGAGGTGGGAGGGGTCCTGTGGGTTGGGGATGGGCTGTGGACTCCTGAGTCTGAGTATGCGGAAACAGCTAAGAGTTCTCAGGACCATGAGTCCTGCTGGTTTCCCTTCTTCCCTTGCTTCTCTTCTTCTCCACCCACAAAATTGTGCCTGTTCTTCTAGGCCAGAACAGCAGTTCTCAAAGTGTGGCTCCCAAACCAACAGCATCAGCATCACTAGGGATGGAGTTAGAGATGCGAATTCTCAGGCTCTGCTGGTGGGGCTCAGCCACCTGTGTATTCACAGCCCTCTAGGTGACCCTGATGCACTTCACACTTGTGTACCTCTGAGTTAGGCATTCCTTGGCAGTCTAACTCCTCTGCTATAGTGTGTGGTTGGTTATTCTGTTTGTGTGGGCTCTGAAGTTGGGAGATCCTTAAAGGCAAGGACAGTGTCTTATTTATGCAACTGTATAAGCCCCCGCCCATCCCTGGTAGGAGCCTTGTACTGATGGACCAAGGGGGAGAGAGGAGTGGCCTCACCTGCCGCTTCCGGTAGAAGCCCCGATGGTCACAGTTAGGCACATAGAGAGTTTGAGACCCTCGGAAGATTTCGGTCTGGAGTTGCCGTAGCACTGAGTCCAGATGTTTGCGGCATGGGCCCTGGGAGAAGGGAGAGCAAGCAGCTTAGAACCAGCTGAGCTCCACGGCACAGTCCCTGGGCCCCACCAGCCAGGCTCCCAGGGCTAACCTGGGAGACTACTCTGAGCCCCAGGAAGCAGTCCCACATGGACATCCTCAGGGCTCCCCACCCCTCCTGCTCCTTGCCAGCCCCACACGCACCATCTCAGTGTCTTGGACACCTCCAGGATTGGGCCTGGCCGGAGTGGTAGAGGTCCCCAGGTTCCTTTGTTGGTCTCTGCGGTTTGTGTTCTGTTGGCGAGTGGTCCCCACTTGGGGTTTACTCTCCTTAGGATTCCCCCCTACGGCCAAAAGAAGATGGGGGAAGAAAAGGCCAGAAATCAGCCAGATGTCAAAGGCCGGCGCCACGTGGGAAAGAGCCTTGCTCACCCCTACTCACGGAAGTGGGAGAAAGAGAGGGGCTTTTGGAGCGGTAGAGGTGAAGGGGGGTTAGAATCTGGCTCCACCCTTACCTTCTCCTGGCCTCAGCTTCTTTCCCTGGCAAATGGTATTATCACATTTCCTGACAAGGCTTAAAAGGGAGGAACACTTTGGAAAGCAAAAATCGTGAACAAATACAATAGTTGCCCCTTATCTATGGTTTCGCTTTCTGTGGGTTTAGTTACCTGCAGTCAACCATAGTCTGAAAATATTAAATAAAAAAATTCCAGAAATAAACAATTCATAAGTTTTAAATTATGAATAGTGCGATGAAATCTCTCGCCCTCTTGCTCCTTCCTGCCTGGGATGTGAATCAGCCAATTGTCCAGTGTCTCTACGCTGTATATGCTCCCCATTCATTAGTCACTTATTAGCCATTTCTGTTATCAGACCGACAGTCATGGTATCTCAGTCCTTGTGTTCAAAACCCTTATTTTACTTATTAATGGCCCTAAAGTGTGAGAGTAGTGATGCTGGCAACTCAGATATGCCAAAGGAGCCAAAAAGTGCTGCCTTTAAGTGAAAAGATGGAAGTTCTCCACTTAATAAGGAAAGAATAAAAATCATATGGTGGCCCAGCTGGGGGTGCTCAGTGGTTAAGTGTCAACCTATGAACTAGGAGGTCACAGTTAGATTCCAGGTCAGGGCACATGCCTGGGTTTCAGCTCAATACCCAGTAGGGGACATGCAGGAGGCAGCTGATCAATGATTCTTTCTCATCATTGATGTTTCTATCTCTCCTCCTCCCTTCCTCTCTGAAATCAATAAAAAAATTTTTTTAAAAAATCGTATACTGAGGTTGCTAAGATCTACAATAAAACAAATCTTCTTTCCATGAAATTGTGCAGAAGGAACAAGAAATCCATGCTAGCCCGGCCAGTGTGGCTCAGTTGGTTGAGTATCATCCCACGCACTAAGAAGTCATTGGTTTAATTCCTAGTCAGGGCATATGCCTGATTTGTGAGCTCAATCCCCAGTAGGGAGCGTGCAGGAGGCAGCCAATGGATGTTTCTCTCTCATCAATGTTTCTATCTCTCTCCCTCTCCTTTCCTTTCTCTCAAAAAAAAAAAAAATCAATGAAAACACATTAAAAAAACACACAGAGAAAGTCATGCTGGTTTTGCTGTCACACCTCAAACTGGAAAAGTTATGGCCACACTAAGTGCTTAGTTAAGAGGGAGAAGATATTAAATTTGTCAGTAAAAGACACGAACAGAAAACGTGTTCCAACTGACGGCAATGTGTTGTGACAAATAACAGTGAGCCTATACGAAGACCTAAGCAAGGGATCCCCTGAAACGAGGGACATCAAGACATTTACTGCAAGTAAGAGATGGTTACACAGATTCAGGAATAGGTTTGGACTGAAAAAAATATAAAAATTACTGGAGAGACTGCATCTGCTGGTGTAGATCTGCTGCCACATTTCTGGCAGAGTCAAAGGCGTTGATTAGGGTTTGGTATTAACCTCGGTTTCATTGGAACGTCTTCTCCAGCGGATAAGGGGGACTACTGTATATTGGGAGGCCTTGGGCTTGGGGTGAAAGACCTGGCTGTTCCACCAGAGGCCAGCAGGGGGTGCACTAAACCAGGGAGATGGGGCAGAAAAGCAATGGGACGGGTCAGCAGCAACCAAGTGGAATGCGTGTCCCTGCTGTGACCCTGCTGTGACTCAGCCCACCTCTTCCAAGCCTGCGATGTGGTTACTTTTGGGACAGTAGGGGTCTCACCCTTCTGGTCCCCTGTGGCTCAGCCCAGCTCAACCCTAGTGGTCCCAGGAACACGTGAGATTCATCAACCTAGATCGGCAGAGGGCAGGTTGCAAAAGTGCGGGAATGAGGGGCTTCCAACCTGCAGGTCGCTTCTGGCTCTGGGGAAGTTTCACATATGGTGTGTGTGTGTGTGTGTGTGGGGGGGGGGGGGGGGGGGGGGGGCGGGGGGTTAGGATGGAACAAGATGAAGAAAGAAGTCAGGGCATCAGGATGAAGGAAAGGCAGGAAGGGGAGCATGAATTTCTTGGAATCCACCCAGCTGTAAAATTATTATGACCCCTGAAAAGACTATCTCTCCGTGCCCAAAGCAAGCTCTGCTTAAGTGCCCAGCCCCTAAGCATAGATAGAGCCCTCATCTGCTTACTACTTACAACCGGAGTCACTTCATCTGCAGTCCCAAATCTGATACTCCTTCCTCCACACTCCTCGGCCCTTGCCCCTCATTCCTTCCATTTTAACACCCTATCACGACTTTGCTCCTACTGCCTCCTCTGACCCACCCGTTTCAGGAGGACCTCTAGCAGCCTGGACGCATGCATCTGGGATGAAACCAGCTCCACGTTAATTTTCCAGCCCTTCCCATGGAAGAAACCAGGAACTCGGGTGCCCCTGGGGTGGGGGACGTTTGTATTTCCTGCCCTCCCCATTTCCCTGCTGCCCCCCCCATCTTTCAGGCTCTGACTCACTTCTGTTATGCCCGCCCCCTGACTCAGCCTTCTATTCTCCACTCTGGAGTAGGGTGGGGTGGCAGCTTTAAATCGTAACCCTGCTCTGATAGGTTCCTTCTTTCCCCACCTCCAGTCCCCACCGCCAGGACCCCAGCACCTACTCTCTGACCCTGTGATGGTCTGAAACAACTCTGGGTGGAGGGCACCTCTGTTCTTAGCCTCATGTTCAGGTGCTTTGGACACCCCGATAGTAAAAGGAGAGGGGGAGCTATTTCTCAGGGTGTGCAGGATGTGGGAGTCTGGTGTTCCATTCCCTCTTTTTCCAAGTGGAAGCTGAGAACATCTGGGTCCCTTCTCCAACTTGAGGGTCTAGGACTGAAGGAGCTGGGCCACTATGGCCATAAACCCCTCCACCTCTCCATCTCTTTCCCCTCAAGAGAAAGTGAGAGCAGGGTCAGACACCTCCCCAGCCCTAGCTGTCCCCCGGCCTTCCAGCTGCCTCCCGCACTTCTCCCTTCCCCCTCTAACGTGTCCCGCAGGGTTGGGGTGGGGGGAGAAGCGTCAGGGGCAGGACCCAGAGGCTGGCAGGGCTGCCTGCGCCCACCTCCCCAGGACCCTGGCTGCGGAGAAGCGG